TTTCTTTTTCATCCTTTTCATCCTTATTTTCTTTTTCGTTTTCATATACTGGATTAATATTAGTTGAATCAGTCATACTATTTTTAGTAGCAGCTTCCGTCATCGCAGTTTCTTCCCGCTTATATTCTTCTTTTTCATTATCCTTTTCTTCCTTTTTTTCTTTTCCGTTTTCATGTTCCGTAAAAGTATAATTAGTTGAAGCAGTCTTAGTAGCAGAATCCGGCGTCGCGACATCTGTATTGTTATTATCGTCCTGTTTAATTTCTTTTTCATCCTTTTCATCCTTATTTTCTTTTTCGTTTTCATATTCTGGACTAATATTAGTTGAAGCAGTCATATTATCTTTAGTAGAACCGTCCGTTATCGCAACATTTGTAGTTTCTTTCTGTTTAAATTCTACGATTTCACTCTTTTCTTTATTTTCTTTTTCCTTTTCTTTTCTTTTTTCATTGTCAGCCGAATTGGTCGCCCCATCATCAATAGCAGAATTCGTCATCATTTCATCTGTAGTTTCTTCCTGTTTAACGTTTTCACTCTTCTTTTCTTCCTTAATTTCTTTTTCCTTTTCATTTCTTTTCTCATTATCAGCCGAATTAGTCGCCCCATCCTCATTAGTAGCAACCATCTTCGTGATAAATGTAGTTTCTTCTTCGTTTTTTTGTATAACTTCTTTTTCACTCTCCTTTACTACCTTTTCTTCATTTTCTTCATTTATTTCTTTTGCCTTTTCTTTTCCTTTCTCCTTTTCATCCAAATTCTCTTTTCCACTTTCATTTTCATTTTCATCCTTTAATTTTAATTTCTTTTGCCCTGATCCTCCTACCTCCACCTTTTCTCCAGTATCAAGCTTAGTTCCTGGAGGTGGAAAATATACTTGCAATAAATGTTCATAAACATCTTTATTTTCGATTTCAAATACACAAAATATGATCCTATCAATCTATTTTTACATAAAGTAAAGAAGGTAAGAATAAGAATAATATAATAAATTTCGTAAAGCGTAAGAGATGAAATGAAACCTTATCCAAATTTGAATGTCCTTCCAACCATCTTCTTATGGTCGATAAAGCAACATGCGCAGCCTTAACACGTGGATATCCGTAGACACCTTTTATAAATTAAAAATTTAAAGGTAGTAGAAATCATATAGAAATCATTAGAAATCTTTTTTGTTTAAAAAAAAAAAAAAACCCGATGAAACCTACCCGTACTGATATTTGAAAATGCCTAAATTTATATTATCAAATGAATATCAATAAAAAATATTTTTTTTTTATAAAAAAGATAATATATATATATTGTTTGGAATTTATACCCACTATGCTCTTTAAATTATTTTCAGTCATAACTTCTAAGGATCGTATATAAGCTTTGTGAAGAAGGTCGGGTTTTTCCCCTATGGGACCGACAGTGTGGATGATATCTAAATAAATAAAGAAACTTTGTAAATGAAATGTTTGATAAAAAATCTTATTTAAAATAATTTAAGACTTACGCTTAGCTGGCAATTCATAACCTAAAATAAAAACGAATTGATATATAGACTAATTAAAATCATCATTCCAAATCAAATTGTTATTTAATTATAGCCAATGATTTTACCTTTAGTGATCTTGGCATCCTGAACGGTTAATTAAAAGGTCGATAAATATTATTTTTTTTTTTATAAAAAAAAAATTTTACATAGTGAAATTTTTAAATGATCAATAATATTTGAGGTCACTTACTCCAGTGTCGCAACCATTAAGTTTCCAACACTCTCTTCTCAGTTCAGGTCCTGCAGCTCTAAATTTATAAATAAAATAAATCACCAGATATATTGATCAATGCTCAAAATCTTTAATTTACCTGTGAATTGCACCATCAACTAAATGCCAAATAATAATTAAAATTAAAAAGATTCGGGATATAATAAATTATTTTCATCAGAAAGAAATTTACCTCCTCCGCCTCCCAAGAGTGATTCATTTGCAGCGTTGACTAAAATAAAGATTGCATATTAAAATGTGATAAAGAAAAACTCTAATCATTCATTGTTATATTATATGTCGGATTAACAAACCTATAGCATCAATTTTCAATTTCGTGATATCTGCTTGGCTTCAAGAACATAAATACATATGAGAATAAGCAACAACATAAGATAAAATTAAATTTTAGTATCTCTATACAAAAGAAACTCACACTAGAGATATTTTTTCATTGAATAGTTCGTTATATTCAAATTGGGGAGAAACTTCAAGTAGTAACAACAGGTTAATAAAACTTTAGTATGCCACTTTTAAATAAAATAATTCCGATATAGTGCTTCTTTACTTGATGCAGCCTTTTTAAAATTACGCGAAGGAATATTCCTTCTCTCATAAAGTTGCTTTAAGGTGGGAATTCTTTCTAATTCGAGATACATATTTCGTTTTGACATTGAATGGACAATTATTCTCTGAAAAACAAACTGACTGTTTTTTATTGAAGCACAAAACGTCGTAATCCGACAGATCATGTTTTATATGTTTTATTATCATTATTTGATGATGTATATCATTACTCATGCATACCTCATTTACTGTTGTACGAATAATATAAAAAAAAAATGCCATTATATATATATATACAAATAATATACTAAATGCTAATTAATGCAATTGTTTCATTATATTTCATGTCCACCACATTTTGTCTATCAGTCACTTCAAGCAGAAGATACTAATTGTTACTTTTCGGTTTTTCATTTGTTAAATCACTTTGGGAGAATGAAGAATCAGTTGGTGATGATGGTGTTGATGAAGAAGAAGATGATGGAACATTATTGCCAATCCAAGATTCTTGCGAGAATAAAGCTAAGGCTCGACGTGCTTTGTGGATCTTTTATAGAAACCATATATTAGTTAAGTTAGATAAAATGAATTGTTTATAAATAAAATTATACACATACTCGACGGGCCAATCTTCCAACATTTCCATCGACTGCAACAACTTGCCAAGCAAAGTCTACACCAAATACCATTTTAATTCCATAAACAATGCGTTTAGCATGTACTTCTTTCATTAATAAATAATCATCTCTAGTCGTGTATGGAATTAGTTTAGGATTTGAATCAAGAGCTCTCTGCACCAAAGTGAGAACAGTTTGCTCAATTGTTGGAAGATCTGATGCATATTTGGGTGTTATTGCTAAATTTTGAAATGTAGAAATTTGTTAACAAAGTCAAATTATAAAAAATCACAGATTATTATTATTTATAAAAAAAAAAAAAAAACAAAAAACAAAACTCTAAAAGTTTAACGTACCAACAATTTCGAATGGTTGTGATATCACCATAACTCCATGATTATTGTCATGGTGGTACCTAAACTCATAAGTGCCAACTTCCCATGGTAATTGATCCCCTTTGAAGCATGCATTGCCCGTTTCCAGCTGATCATTAATGTCTGTTGTTGTTGAATTAAAACTTGTATCAAAATCATCATCATCTGGCGTTACATAAACATAACGCCCTTTACTTGAAACACTAGTCACCATCTTTGATGAATTTGATGTAACTTTATATATACCAATCCAATCTAAACGAGAATGGGTTTTTGGTGCAGTCCACTTGACAAATATAGGTGAACCTAGTTCGAATGTAATTGGTTTCGCGTTTCGATCACGATTGTCATTAATGTCACCAGTAGGTGAATTTGGTGGGGAATGATTCATTTCATCTGAAGGCAGAGCTAATGATATTGAATATTGTTCAAGATTTTGACGATCTATTTTTCCAGCAACTTTACTGAAAGCAGATATGAATGTATCAGAATTAGTAATTTTTTATATACAAAAAGAAAAAAACGGATATTTATGGATTCCATAATGTACCTAATAAAGAATGCACTCGTTGAATTAGATAATAAGATTCGAGTCTCATGAACTACATCTTTAAATCGAGGCTTTGCGGCAACGACAAGTTCACCTACAACTTCGGCTGTATCTTCGACAACTTTTTCAACCGTTTCAGCCACTTCTTTAACAACACGCTCAACCACTTGAATTTCTAGTGCCTCTCGAATTTTAGAAACCTCTTCTCTAACTTTGCCTGGAATAATATTAACGCGTTTAATTGTTTTTGTTACACCAGCCTCCTTTCGAATCTTATCACCATATAATCTTTGCATGTGTGGACTCTCAACATAACGTAAAAATAGGAAATTTGAAATTTGGGCAAATAATGCCAGGCTAAAAATAAGCCAACTGTTTGCAATTAAAGTAATCCCCCAATAAGCTGCATGTCCCATAAGTTTTTCCGGATTATTGAGGAATCTATATATTCCTGTGTAGTACAACGTTGTGGGGTAGTCATCAAGGAAGAAATCACCATAAAACCAACCAAAATCACCCAATACTTCAAATACTGAAACAGATGTCCATATATGTAAAGCAATAAGTAATATACCCAAGGTATGGCGTAATAACACCATTCCGTATGTCCAATCTTCGGGGAAATAATACATTTTCCATGCAGCGGAAAGAAAAGTCACATAAGTCATGCATAATGAGAGGTTATAAATGCTAATAATATAAAACAACTATAAGTACAATAAATAATTAAGGATATAACTACGAATTTAATAAAAGATTACCTTTTCCAATTAGAAAATGTTTCACTAACAGTACCACCAAATTTAATATAATGTTTAGTTAAAAATTTATTTTTACTCTGAAAAAATAAAATGCAGCCCAAACCATAAGAGTGAAAGATACGCCATGCTAAGCATTGAGCAACTAGGAATAATTTGACCACATTGTCGGAAGCACGGACAATGAATAGTGGAAAAATTGCCGCATAAAAGATTATCAAAATGACAAAAAGGTCATTTGAACGAAAAAGATCGAAATTTTTGAATACAATAAGATCGCGACGAAGATGATAACTTGACGTGTTTGACAAATCTGGAAGTGTAGGATGAATTTCATTTGGAGTAGATAGTTTTTTATTTGTAGAAGTTAGTGATTTATCCATTTCTTCTGTGATTTGCCTTGAAATTCTGGCATTGAGCGATATGGGCGGATTATAAGTTTTGTCGATATCTATGATGAAAAATCTAGTTATTATCAAGTGAAGTTTGGGAATGACGTTTGTGAATTCTAAAAAAATTATTTCATTTCTACACTTACGTGGATTTTCAACAAATGTCAAAAATGCAAACTGTGCTGCATGTGCCGCTAAACTTACAAATAATACTGTATAACTCGCCATCATAAGGGAAATTCCATAATAACCTACATATCCAACAGAGTACATTGGGTGTGGTGCCATCTCAAATACACCATCAAATGTAAGTGATTGGTCAATAAGGAAAAAGAAATCCCCCCAATCTTTTTTTTTTTTAATTAAAAAAAAGAGCAAATCATTAACTTCAAAAAAAAAATTTCAAAAAAAAAATTAAATTTCTGGAATTCTTACACCACGCAAAATCTTTTACAACGCGGTGTGCGTCAGTCTTGACCCAAATATTAAACCATAATAAGAAAAGGCCACCAGTCCATCGTAATATGTTAATAAATGCACCTGAACCCTCCGGAATATTAAAGTTAGCAAGCGCAAAACAGATATATGTGGTAAAATCATTCAGGAGAATCAAATCGACAAGTTGACGAAAGAGTAACCATGTGTTAAATTCCAAAGGAGCTTTCTAGAGAAATATAAAAATCATTATTAAGATAATAAAATCGAATTATAAAAAGATGTTAAAATTCCAAACTACCTCAAAATTATAATCGTTTCCCATTTTAATGCTCAATTCTTTTTGAAGAAATGTGTATATCTTCCCGCCTTTGTCTTTATTAAAAAACTTTTTTCGCTTAACCCAAGAGACTAGACCACGTGTATCACTTTGATGTTTTAGCAGCAGTCCCAATCCGCCATTATATGCGGTTCTCCAAAAGAAGAAAAGGATAAGGAAAAGCCATTTTGAAGTAGATGCTGGAAGTACAAAAAATAGTGTGACCTGACATCCAATCACAGTAAACGTAAGAATATCAAATGCCGATTTTTTCGCTTTAGTATCAAAGACTGTAGCCAACATGTCTACAGTTTGGGGAACTTGAAAAGCTATAACAAACAATGATATAAGTCACAATGAAAGGTTTAAATAAGTTAGTTGGGATACATTGTAATCGACGCGTAAATGCAAACACGTGCTTTGAGGCGACTGCATTTCGTTCGTTGTAGTTTGGTTTCCAATCGTTAATGAAAACATACATACCTTGACCATCGTGAGTTTTTCCGTGTACTACATCGTCTCTTTGATCTTTATCAATATAATAAACTTTCTCGGATTCAACTTGCTCAATAGTTTTGACATTGCTTTGGTTGTCATTAAGCGACGTATCAAAAACTATTCGTTGTCTTATCTCATTATCCATGTTTATTATTTATTATAATTTATTTTTGGTCTGATTTCATATAAACTCCGAAAGCCACTTGAACATGTAAATGAACTTCGTCTGTTGAAGACGATAAAAAATTTCCAACTGTTGATGGACGAAAAAAACGACGAAAAAAACGTCAATCTATTTATGTGATTACCCCAACGAAAAAAAATCCATTTTTTGGGTGGATAATGTGACCTGTCACGAGGAATTGATAGTTTCTGCGTATATTTTGTGATATAGATATGAACGTCTATCTTTATTTTCCTATGATTGGCATGTGGAGATTATGCGAGATAATCACGTATATTAGTAGCCCACTAATTTATCATTGGATAAAAAAAAATTTTTCAATTTTTTAATTTATAAAATGAATAAACTTGAGGAAGGATATAGAAAGGCAGAAGCAGAGTTGAAGAAGTGGAAAGAAAAGTGGGGAGAGAGGATGGGGGAGTTTGAGGTGGGTTTATTGGAGAGAAGATGGAGTGGCGAAGAGAAGAAGAGGAGGGAAGATTTTTTAAACAAATTAGAAAAAGAGAAAAGCGAGTTGGTGGAGTGGAAAAAAAGTTGGGAGGCGTTGTACCAAGAGGCGTTACGTGGAGGAAAAGGTAATGAATAAATTGCGTAAGAAAAATATACAAAAAAGCCTTTTCCATTCATTCCATTTATATTACTGTCTACAGATCAAAAATTAACAGTTAATGAGCTTAAGCGGAAACTTGAACCATACATAGTTGAAG